ATTGTTGTTCCTTTTATTTTGATAAAATCTTAATGGAGGTGAATTACAAATATGATATTTATATTCTAAATACTGAGTATTCTATAATGATTATGGAAAATTGAGTGGCATAAAAGTATAATATGAATAACATCTAAATCTGATATTGCAGACTTGGTCACATAAATGAAAATGCAATTTAAAAATTATATAGAGATGTATATTTGGGGTCAATTGAGTTTGAATCATTTGAAAAGTGCAAATCATGCTTGTAAGGCACAATGACCAAATCTCCTTTTACTTGAAAAGGAAAATAGCTGCACAATTACTAGGTCCGATACAAAATGATTTTTGTAGGCCCATGTAAATTGCTGCTAGAAGAGGTTTATCTTATCTCATCACATTTACTGATGACCATTTCAAAAATACTCATGTATACTTGATGAAATTCAAGCATGAAACTCTTGAAAGGTTCAAGGGATTCAAGTTGGAAGTAGAGAAACAAATAGGTAAAAGTAATCTCACACTAAAATCTTATCAAGATGGATAATATCTTAAATGTGAAATTTTAGATTATTTAAAAGAGAATGAGATTATCTCACAATGGACTCATCTACATAAAATACAACATAATGGTGTATTTAAAAGGAGGAATCGTACACTATTAGATATAGTGCGATTAATAACAAGGCATACAAACCTCTCAAAATTATTTTGGGATCATACACTGATTGTAGCGTGCTACTTGATAAATTGTGTCCCATCTAAGTTTGTCGACAAAACTCCATACAAGTTATGGAAAGGAAGAAGGCCCAACCTATCTTATATGAAAGTTTGGGGTTGTGACGCTTATGCAAAGCGCACTAAATTTGATGTCAATTCTATAATCCCATTGAGAAGAAAGTCCTCATCTCAAGACATACCATCTTTCTAGAGAAACTGTTCGTTCTAGGAAAGAATAGTAGAAGCAAAATAAAACTTGAACGAGTTCAAGAGTTCACAAATATAATTGAGCAAGTAGATAAATCTGAGTCTGATCTCACATATGTTGAAGGACATACTCTTGATTAGGAAGTGGAGGCTCTTTATGAAATGTCAGCTTCGTGTAAATTTTGTAGGATCATTCGACCTCCTAAAAGGTAGAATCTATAATTACTAATCAAGCATTACTAATCGAGGATGATGAACCTACTAATTGCACATAAACAAAGTCAAGTGTTGACTCAAAGAGATGACAAGAGGTTATGGAATCCGAAATGAACTCGATGTATGTCAATAAGGTTTAGAACTTGATCGACCAGCCTAATGGAAAAAAACCTATAGGTTGTAAATGAGTTTACACAAAAAAGTCGACATGGATGGAAACAGCCATACATACAAAGTAAGGCTAATAACAAAATGTTATAAAACAAATATAAGGAGTTGGCTTTGATGAAACCTTCTAGCCTATAGAAGTGCTAAAGTCTATTTGAATTTTACTTGAAATAACTGCATACCATGACTATGAGTTATGACAAAAGGATGTCAAAGCTGTATTACTTAACAGGAACTTGCAAGGAAAAGTGTACTTGACACAATTCGAAAGTTTTGAATCAAAAAAAGCCAACAAGGTTTTTCAAGCTTGATCAATCCATTTATGGATTAAAGCAAGTCTCTAAAAAGTGGGATCTTCACTTTGATGAGACAATCAAAAGGTTTGATTTTATCAAAAAATAAAGATGAATTGTGTGTTTATAAAAAGATAGTGGAAGTGTTGTCATATTTCTAATATTATATGTGGATAATACCTATGAGTTCAGGAGATGGATTCAGATAGAGATTCCAGAGATAGATGTATTCTGGATAGTATGTTCGTTGTGAACACATTTGCATTATCATTCCTCTACTGGTATTTTGGTATCTATAGACTGCGAGAAATGATGCGAAGTATAGGAGGATTCGCATGATAGCCAGACGTATCATTTTGAGGGTCTATCGTATGATCTCTTTTCTTCATATGGAAGGATTGTTTCAAGCGGTGTATTGACGAGAGGATTTAACGCTTGCACCAATATTTGAAATTTTTATGGACCTCCTTCCCTATCTCCCCTTATTCTAGTTTGGTGGCATTCCATCAGTCAGNCCAATATTTGAAATTTTTATGGACCGCCTTCCCTATCTCCCCTTATTCTAGTTTGGTGGCATTCCATCAGTCAGATCTGTCAAGATCAATACTGATGGATGCGTCAAAGATGGCCTTGCGAGTGGGGGAGACATCATTAGAGATCACGTAGGACAATGTATCAGGGTTTTCTTAGCTTTGTATGAACCATGCATGATATTAGAGGCAGAGTTCCGGCTATTCTTGATGAGGGTTTTTCAGCGATTTGGGTTGAGTAAGATTCTACGATGGCTATTCACTGTATCACTATAGGATGAAGACTATAGGCAATTCAGGGCATACTCAAACATATCACATGCATCGTATCCTTCGACAGAGACAGTTTCTCACATTTACATAGAAGGAAACCAGGTTGCAGATGCTCTTGCTGCTAAGGGTTGGGATCATCGACGATATCAGATATATGGACCACTTGACCTACCACGACACATTAGGGCAGTAGTACAAGTTGACATACATGGATTGTCTAGTGTCGGAGTTTATTTTTATTTTTCTTTCAATCATTATTTTTGTCTTTATTTGCATTAGTTTTTATTGTAAAGGAAGTAGTACTTCTTTGTTCACTACTTTATTTTTCGTCATTTATTTTCATTGTAAAGAAAGTAGTACTTTATCATTTATTGCTCTCATTATTTTTCATGTAACCATGGTATTCCCCCACCACAAGTGAGAGCATATTAATAAACTCTCGGAGGTACCACCCTCCTTTAGTAAAAAATACTTTTAATATATAATTGGTGCAATTTATGGCAGATCTATTATTTAATTAATATTCAATTAAATTAAATAGTAGAGTCGGTATATTCAAATTTTAGTAATGTGTTAATCA